AGTGTTAAGTGTGTTTTCACATTAATTAACGAGTATAAAGAGTTAAGAGATACAACATTACAAATGAGTGCTAATTATCTAACTGGTTAACCAACACTCTAACAAGCTTATCTAACCACCTCAATCTAGCAAACTACCATTAATATCGTTTTCTATGTAAAAAAAAAATCTCAAATATCACACTTCTCTTCTACTTATACACACTCACGCTGACTTGTTTATGTATAGCACAAACCTTCATCTATATACACAAACAGCCACAAACATGACAAAGCTCATCCTTATCCTCGCCGCACAAATCCTCCTCGTCGCAGCCATTGCTTCCGCGGGAGACTTCGCAAGAACCATGAACCAAAAACACCTCGGCCTCCACAAGAAGGAGAAACTCACACATCTCCGATTCTATTGGCAAGACTCCTTAAAAGGTCGACACCCTAGCGCCGTCATTATCCAACAGCCGGTCTCAAACTCCTCCACATTCGGATCGGTCACCATGATGGATGATCCACTAACATTGGATGTGTCGAGGAATTCGAGTGTGGTGGGCCAGGCCCAAGGAATTTACGCCGGAGCGGCCCAAAGAGAGATTGGATACTTGATGGTGATGAACTTTGCTTTCAAGACCGGGAAGTACAATGGGAGTACGATCGCGGTTCTTGGTCGGAACACGGTGTTATCCAAGGTTAGGGAAATGCCGGTGGTTGGAGGAAGTGGAGTGTTCCGATTTGCTAGAGGTTATGTCGAGGCTCGGACCAAGTTGTTCGATTTTAAGGCCGGTGATGCCACAGTTGAGTACAATTGTTACGTCTTGCACTACTAGTATAATTATGTTTGTAATGTTTATGTGATTTCATTACTTAAGTAACATTTGCATTTAACGAATGTTTGTTGTTTGGTTTTGTTGCATGTCCTGTTGTGTAATGTGGTGTGGTCGTGTGTGTTATTGTCTCCCCACAAACTTAATATTTCGTAATTAGTTTATATTTATATTGTACTAAATGGTTTTCATTTCCTCTACAAAATAAAAAAAGTCGTTGTTTATACATGAAATAAACCATTTGGGTCAAATTAAGTGGCGCAAAGGCTTCCGTGTTATATGATCTAAAAATCATCAATTGATTAGTGATTACATTATTTGAGTTTCTGGTATCATCAATTGATAAGTGATTACATTATTTGAGTTTCTGGTATAAAATAAATAGAGTGATTAGCCCAATCACTAGCTAATCAAACCTTAGAACATAAATATTTTGTCGTATAACATGAATTTTGATGGAGAGGACAAATTTCTTCCTTTTTTTCAAATGGAGAAACTATATCCTTTTTTATTCGAAAAAGAATATTATTCAAAATAGTAAACATATAACCACAGTAAGAAAAACTAATCACATTTTATTTCTTGACAAAAACGTGAACGTTGTTTCCATTAATCGCTCACGGACGGTTGTGTGTTCACATTATTATTTTTTTTTCCCTTTGTTCTCAAAACTCAAAACTCAAAAATTATTTATTATTTACTTTTTTATTATATTTTCTCTTCACAAAGAGCGCCTCGAAATAGCTGACGTGGCATAAATACCGTCTTTTTGATATTCTCTCTCTCTCTTCATTTTGGGGATTTTTTCATCCATAAACTTTTCTTCATCGCAACCGCACCGGCGAACCCTAAATCGCTCAAAAGCAAAATCTCTCAATCGGAAGATCGATCGCTGATTATATCTCAAATCGCTTTCCAAATCCGACATGAGCGAAACTGTCGCTTTTGGAGGACTATAATGATCGGACTATTCGTGTCTCGTCTCGATTGCATGGGGTTTGAGCTATGCCGGAGCTTCGCCGTGGAGTCCGCCGTGGCCGTGTTACTGAACCTGTAGCTTTGAATCAGCTTCCACAACAGCCTACCGAAAAGAAACAGAGGAAGAGTAGAACTCCGAAAGCGGTTGCCGGCGGAGTTACAAAAGCTGTGGAGAGGCCGAGGACGAGATTGGCCGCGAGAAAATTGAAGGAAGAAGATAAGGAAATCGTTCAGGAGAATCCGGTTGTTGTGCTTTCCAAGGGTAGCGATATCGATAAAAACAAGGGTAAAGAGGTAGTCGAAGAAGAAGAGAAGAAAGTTATGGCAATTGGTAATGATAGTGGTGGCTCTAACAAGGCGGCTGCACAGGAAGAAGAAGGAAATACTGCTCCTTTCCCTGAGAGGGTAATTTTTTCTCTCTGATTTTGGTTGTTCTGACATTAGAGAATCGTAAATCTAAAGTTAGCGATGCATAGTTGTGGTGTTTGTTCTGTGAAATGTTATGCTTTGTATTTGGTTTATGCCCATCGAGGTTAATCTACTTTGCACTGTGGAATATACATTTTTGCAAGAGGGTTTTCTCTGTTCTAACTTATTGTAGACTTACTTTTCTCCCTTACATGGTTATGACTAACGATTTTGTATCTAATCAGGTTCAAGTTGGTGGATCACCATTATATAAGGTTGAGAGGAAGCTGGGGAAGGGTGGTTTTGGACAAGTATTTGTGGGACGTCGTATTAGTGGTGGTAATGATCGTAGTGCAGGAGCTAGCATCTTGGAGGTAATGTAACTCAGTCTTGCCTTATTACTGTGGCGGATTGTCACCGCAAGGATCTGTTTATTAGCGTTATCATGTTTACGTTGTCTTACATCTCCAGTTTCTTATATAGGTTGCTCTAAAGTTTGAGCATCGAAGCAGCAAGGGTTGCAACTATGGTCCTCCACACGAGTGGCAGGTGTACAAGTGGGTGTCCGATTCCCTTGTTGTTCTTTTTATGTTTCTGAAATTTGTTTACTGTTTACAAGTGAGTTTTAGGGGCTTCGTTGTGATGAAATGTGAAACTAAACATTTTATTTTTACTGTGAATAGCACGTTGGGTGGTAGCCATGGAGTCCCTAGAGTACATTTCAAAGGGAGGCAAGGAGACTATTATGTTATGGTACTGTATCCTTACTTTCTCTTCTCTCCTTTCTACTTTTCTCCTGTAAGGTTTATTGATGGTAGATTTTTTTGTTTGTTTTGGCGTCAGGTTATGGACATGCTCGGACCAAGCTTATGGGATATATGGAATACTTCAGGGCAAGCGTGAGTCTCCATTACACAACCTTCTTGTCTCTTTATTAATACTTCATGTAGTTTTCTATACATGAATATTGAAATGTTAATTGGCTCCTTCTAGAAATGCCACTTGAAAAGTATTGTTACTCCCTGTTTTTTAAGAGTTGGTACATAAATCCATATTGAGTAACACCTCTCTTTTAAAAATCCAGTAACAAATGAAATTTGACTGACCTAACGATTCTTGCCCTCTTCTCTTAGCAGAATGTCCTCGGAAATGGTAGCTTGCATTGCAGTTGAATCATTGTCCATCCTTGAAAAGATGCATGCAAAAGGGTATGTACTTGTTTTTTTTTTGGCTTTTGTTTTTATCTTGGTCTCCGCATCTCTAATTTATTATGTTTTCTCTCTATTTACTAGCCTAACCGGTCATGATTTGCTTTGGTTTCAGTTATGTGCATGGAGATGTTAAGCCAGAAAATTTCTTACTTGGCCAGCCTTCAACGTCTCAAGAGAAAAAACTGTTTCTTGTTGATTTGGGACTAGGTTGGTCGATTTTATTCTATGTGATTCTTGTTAGCTCCTTATCTACCTTTCTCATTTTTTAAATCAACTTTTCAGCAACAAAGTGGAGAGAAGGTGGCAGTGGACAACATGTTGAATATGATCAACGTCCCGATATGTTTAGGTAATATCTGTTCAATTGTCCCTTTTTCTGATCTTTATATTCACTTCTATTTTATTTCTATTTTCTAACCTTTCTTCTTAATTTCTGTAGGGGGACAGTTAGATACGCAAGTGCGCATGCTCACTTGGGGAGAACTGCTAGCAGAAGGGATGACCTCGAATCATTGGCATACACGCTGATCTTCCTTCACCGAGGTCGATTGCCATGGCAAGGATATCAGGTACTGCAGACCTATCTTTCTACTTTGTACAGTGATGTTGTTACCATGGTTCTCTCTCTGCTAAACCTTTCTCTTGCTCGCTCTCTGCTAAACCTTTCTCTTGCTCAATTCTCAGGGAGATAACAAGTCATTCCTCGTTTGCAAAAAGAAGATGGCAACATCGCCGGATATGCTTTGTTGTTTCTGTCCCCCTCCTTTCAAGCAATTCCTTGAGATCGTGGTAAATATGAAATTTGACGAGGAACCGAACTATGGTAAATTAGTATCTCTGTTTCAAGACCTCTTAGGGGAAAATCCGGCTATTAGGCCTATAAACACCGAGGGTGCCCAAAAGGTGACGTTTTCATGCTGTACATCTTTGCTTTTCTTTCCTATTAGGTAGTCATCTAGGAGTTTTTATTTAACGTCTGGTTTTTGTTTTTTATTGTGCTAGATCATCTTCCAAGTTGGACAGAAGCGAGGTAGGTTGAGCATTGGGGAAGAAGAAGAAGATGCCCCTAGGAAAAAGGTCCGTTTAGGAGTCCCTGCAACGCAATGGATATCAATTTACAATGCCAGGCAACCAATGAAGCAGAGGTAAAAAAAATCATGGTTAATTATACAATCAGTTAACTTCTTGTGTACTTGATCTGTCCACTGCCTCCAGTTGGAAGTTTCTGACTGGGACTGCGTTTGTGTCTCAATTGTTTTTTGGTTATATTATAAACTTGCATCTTGGCTTCAATGTGTGTGCAATGAAAATATTTTTGTAATGACAATGTTTGTGCAACCAGGTATCATTATAATGTGGCTGATATAAGACTGGCACAACATATCGAGAGAGGTATTGCAGATGGTTTGTTGATAAGCTGTGTATCTTCATGCTCGAATCTCTGGGCATTGATAATGGATGCTGGAACTGGCTTCACAAACCAAGTCTACGAACTCTCTCCTGTCTTCTTGCACAAGGTGGTCTAGTGTTTCTCTGTTAATTATTTTATGCTCATGTATGTGTTCTGCAAGATGATCTTATGTGAGAGTGAATTTTTGTTCTGGATCAGGAATGGATAATGGAACAGTGGGAGAAGAACTACTACATAAGTTCTATTGCTGGTGCAAACAATGGAAGCTCTTTAGTTGTCATGTCAAAAGGTATCTACACTTTCCTGCTTATATGTCAGCAGCTCTTTAGCATGAAAACTTATCTTATGTTTGGTCTTAAATTGGGTTTTGAAGGTACGCAGTATACACAGCAGTCTTACAAAGTAAGCGATTCATTCCCATTCAAGTGGATCAACAAGAAGTGGAGAGAAGGCTTCCATGTAACCTCAATGGCAACAGCTGGAAGCCGGTGGGGTGTTGTTATGTCCCGCAATTCTGGCTATAGTGAACAGGTTAAAACTTTACCCACTTCGTCGGTTCTGCTTCGTCTTCCTTCAGTTTTTGGATGTCACGTTGATTTCTGATCCAGTAAATCTCCTCCGTTGTCTGTTTATCTCTCTATATAGGTTGTGGAACTTGATTTTCTGTATCCGAGTGAAGGCATCCACAGGCGTTGGGATGGTGGATTCAGAATCACATCAACAGCAGCAACAACTGATCAAGCTGCTCTCATCCTAAGCATCCCACGGCGTAGACTGGTCGATGAGACTCAAGAGACGTTGCGTACCTCTCAATTCCCGAGCACACATGTCAAGGTGAGTAGAGTAGCTCATAAAGATTCACTTAATCTTCTGAGATTTTTTCACCCTTCGCATGAACAATACCTGAGGTCTTATGCATTGTTATACCTTTTGTTGTGCAGGAAAAATGGGGAAAGAATCTCTACCTAGCATCGTTAAGCTATGGCCGGACTGTATCTTGAAAACTTACTAGTTAAAATGTTGAAGGACGAGAGAAAGATGTTTCTAAGTCTCTGCTCCTATTCCATATCCAACCTTCTGGCCTCTCAGGCTCTGTTGTGTCTTTTTTTTCAGTTGAATTGTGAAGCCAAAAAGTGGTGATTGTGTTTGTTGTTTCTCCATTTCGATTGTGAAGGAGTGAAGCATAATCACCAGTTTAGCTACACATTTCCATCTAAACTGCTATTTAATTTTTAATATCAAGAAGAGATATTTTTGTTACCAAATAGTATTCTAAAACAACTTAGTGTATGACCTAATTATCCATTTCACAACGAATTATATTATTCTTATTCAGTGTGTATGTTCTCTCCATAGACGACCTGAAAGCTTCAACTTCAGTTCCTTGTTGTTGTTGTCTGTAGAGAAGAACAAAGCTGATTTGCGAGTGATGATTAACCCGTCTTGGCTATCGCGGACCGTCTTGTGACTATCTCGAATGCTTCTAGGCACGCCTTGCCACGTTAGCTTCCTGCCATTGCCACTGACTTCCAAAGTGTAGCTGAAGTTCGTTGCTTCTTCTTCATCTCCCATAAACTGTATGAAAGCTATGTACATTGGCGTTTTCAGCAGGTGAAATGCTTCGAAGTATAAGCAAAACTGTCGGCCAAAACAATCCAGAAGCTGCATTGTTTTGTGTAGGGAAGGTAATTAACAAGTTGCAAAAACAGAGCAAAGAGAAGATTTGAAGTAATCTGAGTTTTTAACTTACAGTTAACATCCAAGTAGCATGATGAAGATGTTTTGGATTATGATGGACATATCGATGACTGAAACTACGCCCATCATGCATTTCTACATGATGATCATTCCTTAGATGCGGAAGCAGCCATTGAATATCACCTGTGAGTGTACATTTGGATCCAGAGTAAGGACAATTGTACGGTTTCTTCTCAGGGTTCTCACTATCGAGCTCTTCGGTGTGGTCATTGGGACACTGTGGCAAGATCCATGTTGTTGTTATTGTGTTCTTATCGATCTAGTATATCTATATGATGTAATCTACATACCTGGTAGATTGTAGAGGACATATGGTTTGTACAAACCGTGAAATCGAATAACTCACGGACCCGGGATTCAATCTGAAGGTCATTGATTTGAGGTTCCATTTCGCCGGAATTCATGAAACCACAGGTCAAGTGTCAAGTGAGAGAGGAGAAATGTGTATGTATCTGTATGTCTATATATATTGGACACAAGATGGAGTTGATGGTGAATATAAGAGTTGGCTCCGGAGATTGCGTATGTGAAAGAGCTTGATTTAGGGAAGAAACTAATGCAAACAAAAACCATATAGTATACGACTTGAGATTGAAAATTACAATTTAGTCAAGGTTCTTGATTACACGACACCCTGAGTTGTCATAGTAAGTAACCAATTGGATCTTGCAAGCTGTAACCATCCACTTCAAATGCCATGTGGACAAATAGGTCTTAACCAAATCAAATCATTGTATTTCAAATGTATTTTATTAAAACCTGAAACTTGTTGATTGCTCTTTCAATCACTCATGGTTAACTGCTAAAGAATATTGTATGATAAAAAGAAAAAACTCCAAATATGAAAGATCTTGCCTGCAACATCACATTACTTTCTCAGTTTCAGATAAACTCAAAACCGCAAGAATCTAGAAAAGAGAGTTGGAGATAACAGAATCTAAATACAGGACCTTTGGATCTGATCAAAGCTTAAAAGAACGATAATCCGAGCTTTCGTTTATGGCTCTATCCTCCTACAAACTTGTTGCTAGATGAGAAGATTGTCATAAAGGCATTGAAATACCTGCAATTTGTGAGAAAAGGTTCATGTCAATGTATTGAACTAATCAAAAAACAAACTTTGAAGTGATGTACAAGTTGATCGGCTCAGATG